AAAGATTAGTACTGAAATGGCAGTACTTGAAACAAATGAATTGTTAATAAAACTGCCTCTCCTCTAATCCCTTCCCGTTGCTAACATTGAAACTGATGCTGCTGATAACACCCCCCGCCCAAAAAAAAAAGAAAAAAAATAAAAAGTTCAATGCTGGTCTGACTGTTGGAGCAATGGTCTAGTTTGAAGTTGAACCATAAAAATTTACCGACAGATTAACTTCATAATTAAGTAGACACACTGCCAGCTGCATGTATCTGATTAAATTTGAATAATTGCTAGAATTGACATGTCAACTCTATTACCAGTGTCTTTTTGAGCTTGATGGCGGGCAAAAGCTTGAGCATCTTTGAGGCTTCCTATGGTCTCCAGATCAATGGATTCTCCAAATGCCTCCTTTTGAGCCAATAGCTGTGAGTATATCACATAAAGAGGAGGGAAGAAACTCTGCTGAATGATGCTGCTGCTTTTGTTTCTTAGAATGCAAAACTCCCAATTGATTTTGTACTGGCAAGGACGTTTTCTTAAGAGACTTGAGATGTGAAGGGAGACTTGAGAGGAACTTCTTTCGATTTGCAATTGTCTCAGAAAGACTCCTTTTTTGCAGTTCCAGTTTCTCATGAAGCTTGCAAAGCTCTTTGCGCTGATACAAATTCATAATTAATTTTTATAACATATTAATTATTGATAAAAGAGAAACATAAAGGCAGATCAGTAACAAGAGTAAAAACGACCAAACATTGAAGCTAATATTTTTCAATCAACATGGTACAGCTAGAATCATATTAAAGACTTAACTCATATGTCATGGTCGTACTCAACTGTCAAATAACTTCAATCCATAACAGATCAAAAAAACGACTTTTTTTCTTTTTTCTTCTTTTTTTAAAAAAAAACTACAGATGCTAAACATATAGGGCATTTTATTCTTCTTTAATAATCCTTCTATTTGTTAATATGGAAGATTTGCAAGAGGCACAACAATATAATTTGGAACCAGCAGTCATCTAACACATAACTGGTTCCGTTATATTCATTGCTGCCAGAGGTGAGTCCAGGAATTCCGGAAATTATTGAAGTTTCAACCTTCCGCTCCTTAACTCAATGTCAAAGACTGTGTACCTCCTCCAGGAATAAATCATTGAGAATTTTTACAACACAATTTTCTTTACTAAGCATGTATTTTTCAATGCTTTAACAGCGTCTCAGTTGAGACACGTCAATAAATGAAAACATGCGCCAAAGATGCCACAAGTGGGACCAATGACATCACTTTAAAACATGAAATTTAATGGTTATCTTCACAAAAACTATAATTCACACATTAGCATGCCTCTTGCTTTTTCTTGAATTTTTTCTCATTCCTTCACGTCCACCTTATAGCTATTTGTCACAGGCCCACAGTGACAAGTAGCTGATTGAAATAGGATGACAAAATATCACCTGGAATAGCTCAAAATTTAGCCTCTTGAGCATCAAGTTGTGGCCACTATCATTAGACAATAAGGATTCCTTTATATCTTCAGGTGCATCACGAAAAAATTCTTCTTCAGGTACAAGTTCTATGTCAGGGTATTTTGTTTTGAAGTCCTTGCAAGCCTTTATCGCCTTAAGATAGTGACTTTTCTCGTACATCAGGTTGTGAAGCTGCAAGGATGTAAAGTCTACAGGTGCCTTTGCGCGTTCTGTCTCCATTTTAACACGGTCTTCCTCTATCAAGATGGAGCGGTTTGCCTGAAAAAATATTAATGCCTATAGTTTAATGCAAAAAGGTGCAAATCTTAAGGAATAGATTCTTGGCACATGAACCTTGAACAGACATATAAATGGATGGTCAGTGGCCTTCAGAAACCATTGGATGAGTAAACTATGACTATAAAGGTTTGCCTAGTGGGCCTGAATGATTCTGTATTTAAATTGTGAATGGCTGGTTGATTGGAGGGGAAAAATAATGGCATAGAAGCAAAGAGCTCGCCATCCACATTCATTTTAATCTTAAGAAATATTTTAATCTCAAACTAAGTAATTAAAATGGGTTGAAGATGCAGTGCAAAGAGTTTCCTTTTTTTGCCCGGGCCAAAGTAGTTTGCAAATTTTTCATTTTCCAATTCTCTAAAAAGCACCAAGGAGTGAACATCAAAGCCTTTCTATCTATCCCCATTTCAACGCCCTTCCTGTTATTTCGTTACAACTTCCACCTCTCATACCAAGCATGCCTAAAAGCCCTCATGACAACCTATTGCCCACTCAATAGTGAAATCCTCATTGCCGGATCACGCATGTGAAATTGATGTCTCTATTAAACTAACAGTGAAATGTTTCGTCTCCTCCCAAATTTGAAATCAGTATTATTCATCACCTTAGTAGGCGGCTTTCATGCCTTTTCATTTTATTTTAGAAGTGACAATTTATATACTTTACACTTGCCAAGAACCCGTCGTGTGCTTGACCTCAGACCTCGCTGGCCGTCAGATCGATCTATTGTTCATTTTGAATTAACACACAAAACTTAGCCGCAGGCTAGTTATAAACCCTAGAGCAGTAAAAGGGAGCGGGGTAAGAATACTAAGAGTATAAGGACCTGGCGAAGAGTGACAAAGTTGAGGAACATCTGAGTAACGAGCTCTCGGAGCTGCGACTTAGGTTTACCCTCTCTTTTAAGCGAGAGCATCTCACCAACGATCTTTTCTACCGAAGCTTTGCTATTCTGCAGCATTTCGTATGGAGATTCCTCCAACTTGCATTCTTCCGCCGAATGTCCATCACGTTGGTCTTCTCCTTCCACCGGCACCGGCGCCTCCTCTATCTCACCGTCTTCCATTTCTGTCCGCAGCTGCAATGGAGTTCGAGGAGCCTACACTCCCCCGCTCTCCGTATTTACAGAAGTTTTAAATGAACAATAACAAAAGAAAATTTGTCCGGCAAGGAAATCGAGGTAGTAAAGTACCAGGTGGATTTACCAGATCGTTAGTCCAGTATATGGTTTTGTCCTTATAAACGTTAGCCCATTACACGGTGTCCGCTAATTATTTATAATAAATGAATATTATTTTTAAAAATATTTATATCAATTATGTGTATATGTAATAAAATCTTTAACATGCTGGTAAAAAAAATAAAATCTTTAACATGTGTAATATTATAAAAATTATCATAAGAAAAATAGATAAATATGACAGGAAAAATGTATTGAAATTTTATATTTATGACCAAATTAAAAATTAAATTAATTCTTATATTAAGGACTAAATAATATACTATCTCTGGTTCTTAATATAAGACTTAGCTGATTAATTTAGAGAGATTAAAAAATTAATTAAACTAGTTATTTATAATAAATAAATGTTGTCTTCATAGAATACCTTTGCTAATCATGTGTGTTAGTTAAAATTACTATTTGATAAAACCTTTAACATGTACAATTACTATAATAAGTATTTTAAAAAGAAGGATAAATATGAAAGACAGAGTGAATTAAAGTTTTGTATTTATAATTAAATTAAAACCAAACTAGTTTTTATATTAAAGCTAGGAGGTTGTAATTGATTACAAGTTTATAATGATGATTAATAATATTTTATATTTATATTGAATATAATTATAAATATTGTTAAGTGTATATTTTAGTTTTTCAAACATGTAAAGATGTGCTGATATTTAAAAGGGATACTCAGTTACCCACGGTCACTAATTGAGTTTTTGACTAGCACTCACCGGATTGATGTTAATTTATTTTCTTGCCAACAATTTGTGTTTATATAATGCAAATGCAAACAAAATAATAGTGCTAATATTCTTGATGAGAAAATAGGCTATTTTTTGACCAAAATAAAATAGGCTAAATTAAACGACCTGTATTTTGTATTGTTATGAATTAAAATTGGAAATTAAAAAAATGTAACCGGGATGTAGCGAGCGGCATAGAAACTAGAAAGGGGAAGTGACCGCTCGGCGAGAGGGGCGGGAACCGGGGACTCGAGTCCTTGCGAAAGACGAATGACCCGACTCTTCTCTCACTGAACTACAGGATGGACACCGCCGATTCCGAATGTTGTGGCCCTTCCATCAAAGCTCTCGGTTCGCTTTTCAAGCTCACCCAAGTCTACCTATGGTGCCGCTCCTTTGTCTCTCACTCATATGCTAGATTTTTTTCTCTATCTATATCCTTTTCTTGCTTCTTTGGTTTAACTTTCTCATTAATTGCAGGGACGATGGTGCGCAGGTTTCATCATTAGCCGAGCGCTCTGTTAGTTTTCTAGCCGTTTGTCGAACTGAATATTTCTATTTCTTATGCTTTTTGGTAAGTGTTGTCTGATTTCTCGTTCACTTGCTCTCTTAACACTTATTTTGCCTAGAGACCGACTGAAGCTGATGACGGTAAAGGCTTACACTTCGTTCCTTCAACTGAAGGCAAGTGTTTCTCCCTCTCTCTAGCACTTCTAATTTCTCAGTTTTGTCACCGGAGTTTTTGAATCATGTCCTAATTTTCCTGCAAGTTTTTTGCATCTCATAACAGAAGAATGGATGAAGCAGTTTTCAGGAGAAAAACAAGAAAAAGAAAGAAAGAAAGATTCCGTCAAACCAAAGTCAATCTTCTTGAACTGGCGATTATTTTCCAAAACATTTTATTAACCACCAGAAAACGCTTTCCAACAAGCCTTTTTATTTTCCGGGAAAAATATGGTGCCCTTATCTATCATTATGTTTTACAGTGCTCATGTAATTGACTGTGCTTGGAACTGTATTTAATAGTTTTATTCTCTTATGTTGTTATGACGGCGTTCTCTGAAGATATGGAATTTACAAGGCAGATGAGTGCATTGGGGCTTCCTCTTTCCTTTCACACAAATAAGGAGGTATACTTAGTTGCTTACAAACGTTCTTGTATCTTCCCGATGGAATGCTTTCCTTAAAAGTTTAAATATTTTAAATAATGCCAGACATGTAAGTTTGTATTTCAAGTTACTCAATGCCTGAAATCTTCACTATCAAACATAATATAACTACAACCTGAGTGCACTTTCTAGAGTACATTTGAATGATACATGCGGTTGTGACAGAGGAGATCCGGACATGAATATGTACCTTCAAAAGCCATAATTTTCCTGTATCAATTGTGATACGTGGCGATTGTAAGAACTGTTATAAAATAACTTGTAACTACTTCAGTTGGGAAGTAAACAGAATAAACGACTGCTAAAAGGGGTACAAGGATCACACGTATACTCCTATTTTGGGTTGTTGTTGAATAAAGTCACTTCCGTTAATCCTTTTTCTCTCCCTTCTCTACTACTTTGTACCAAATTGCTGCTAATAATTTTCAGTATAGACATTGTTGTTCACAATCTATTATCATTTTCATCATACTCTTTATCTGCTCGTTAATTGCTGTCAAAGCTGCTATTGATTATATCTCTGAACTATCTTATTACAGAGAAATGGACAACTAAAAGGCAAAAGAAAGGGTAAACGTAGTCATCAAAAACCTGTAGATGAAGCACTTTCCAGAGTGAATGTAGAGGAGGTTGTATCTCCTGACATTTATTATCATAATACAAGTAATTCTTTATCATGTATATCAATGATGGGTGAAAGCAAATCGTGTCATTGTGATGGTTCAGTGGGTGCTGATAGCTCTCAATGTGTCTCTGGTGAGGGTGACAATGCAGCAATTTATACTGGTGTTTTGTCTGATGTTATCAGGGAGCAACATGACGATGACAAAAAGGATGATGTGACTGATGTCGCTCGGGATGGTGACTTATTGATTAGAAATATTTCTTTATGTGATGATTTGAAAGTTGCATCAAGTTCACCTGTTGGATCTTCTGCTGGAGGTAGAGACAGTTTGACAGTTTCCGATGCCAACCTTTGCAGAATAGAAGGTGGTGAACAGTTGATTGATCATAAATGCTTGGAAGTTGCGTCAATTGTTTGCAAAGATACAGAACATGAGACCTTTTGCAATGGTGACAGTGTTATTTTGCAGTCAACTTCATTTCCTGTGAGTTCAGAAGGAATTGGAGGTGACATGGTTGCTGACTCAAGTGACTGCGGTGAACTTGGAGAATGGATGGTGTATTGGGATACTTTTTATGAGAGAAGCTACTTTTACAATATCAGAACACAAGAAGCCACATGGCACCCACCCCCGGGGATGGAGCATCTAGCAACTGGTGGTTGTACAGAAATGGATAATGGTGGCACTGTAGCAGCAACAGAGGAGCATGCTTCTCAGAACAAGACTAACACCGTTGAGGAAGCTTTGATTGTAGAGGAATTAGCTAAACAAGATTTGTGTTCAACTGACACTGGATTTAGTTCTGACAATGTGATCTCTGATATCAATATACAGAGTGAAGGCCAGTCCTTTGAATTGATTGAGAGTCGTAGTTGTGATGATGGGGTTTCATTCTGCTTAATGTCAGATGCCCCGGATTATAACATATGGTATTACATCTTGTACCTAACCCACCATAAAAGTTGTAAATTATTCAACCTTAATTTATCATGCTATGATCGTCCCTGGAAAGGATTTATTTGTGAGGTTATACATTTACACTGGATACTTTATCACTTCTTCATATGATTCATGAGACTTACATTTCCAAGACAGCTCATTTAATTTGCAAGGCTAACCAAGTGCTTCAATTATTAAATGTATTAGTTATCCAAAAATGCTTCTTTCAACTCACCTTTCCGGTTTCAATATTCTACTTGTTCTTATACTCGATATGCCTTGCAGCTCTCACAAAAGATGCATCAAGCCAACTTCTGAGGGTAATGACACATGCTTGGATATCACCGTTCCTACTGTGAATGGGTTGCATGCTAAGTCTGATCCTTCCATGAAAATACAGGAAAGGACCATGAAAAGAAAACCAAGACAGAGACGACTGTATGATGAAACTGAAGGTATGTATTATCATGAAGTTTCTATGATAACTTTGCTGATTCTCGACCCCCCAACTCGCTGGCTCCAATTTTCTTAATAATGCTTTCCCGGAGTCAAATACTGAGAAAACTAGATACATGGAGATATTGCCATACTAAGGTGATTTTATGATGCAAGTTATCACATCTAGACCTTGTACAGATATTTCTTTTATTTGTCTTGCACTTGTATGCATACACAGTCATTCTTTGATAGAGAGTGTTTTTAGGTGCCACTTAAGGACATGTGTTTCTTCAGAGAATGTTAGTAAAAATTGAACCAAAGATAGATGCTTGCCTGATTGATTAGAACTAATTTCTGGGAGTTTCATGCCTTGAGACATTAATGCTTTTTAATATGTTTTACTTCCTTCCTTGATAGGACAATACAGCCAATTGTATTAATTGAAGTCTTCCAGTACTTGTATTGTTACTTGTTGCTGCCTATTTAATCTACTTATTTTTCATTTTGCAGGTTGCCAGTTTCAAGAATTGCATGAAGAGTATTCTGCTGCTATTGGGAAATATTGGCATCAGAGATATAGTTTATTTTCTAGATTTGATCATGGTATAAGAATGGACGAGGAAGGATGGTTTTCTGTCACTCCAGAGCTTATTGCTCAGCATCATGCATTACGTTGTGCTAGTGGCATCATAGTTGATTGTTTCACAGGGGTTGGTGGAAATGCCATCCAATTTGCGCAATGGTGAGTACCAAGTAGTCATGTGTTGTTGACCAGCATAGTTTGCGTAGATTTTGGTGGGCAATTTTTCCTAGTTGTATTTTTCAAATTTATAGGACTGATAGTTTTCAATGAATAAAAAAACTGTTTATGGTCCATGTCCATTGGAACACAAGCCATTAAAGTACACAGCGGAAAGAATGAAGAGAAAATTGGGGAGGGGGACCATGACGAATGACTAAGTGTCACAGGTTGAGGTGTCCCATACGTATGTCTGGGAGGTGAATAGGTAGGAGAGAGAAATGTCATTAGCTGGGTTTAAGAGCTTGTAGGCAGAGTGACAGGGAAGGAAAGAGATCATTTGGCTAGGGAGAGTCTTTAGCCTTCAAATGCTAGAAATTTTGTTTTCTTTGTAGATTTTATCTTGTAATCATCCGATGCTTTTGGCATTCCCTGATACATTTTCGTTTCTTTCCTCTGAGTGATATTTGATATCTGTAAATGGAAATCTATTATTTGATATTATACTTACAGTTGCAGACATGTGATAGCAATTGATGTTGATCCAAGGAAGATTGATTATGCAACGCATAATGCTGCTATCTATGGAGTGGGTGACCAAATTGACTTCATTATAGGAGATTTTTTCCTTTTGGCACCGAAGTTAAAGGTACTACAGTCGATAGATGACAATATTTTGCTCTTGGTGTTATATCCTTTCTAGCTTGTGCAGGCCGGTCAAAGTCATAATTGATATCTTGTAGTTAGGCTGCTTACATCTGGTATGTTTTAAAAATGTGATCAACAGAGATATTGAAGACAAGTAGTAAGAAATTATGCTTTATTCCTGTACCTTAAGAGCATCAATCATGGCCTCGTGCTATTCTGTACTCTGCCAGTGTCAAATGCTGACAATTGTAGTGACATCAGAGAGATATTTATTAAATCATAAGAAGTTAAAAAAAAAAAAAAGTATCTTAGAAATGGAAATGTGGATATTTCTTTTTTTTGGGGGGGGGTTATTGTGAGCTTTCCTTAACCATCTGAAAAGGAACCTGTTCTAGAAAGCTGATGAGCAGGCTTACTTTTTCATTGTACGCATGCTTGCACTGACAGATAATTTCTTGTACTCTTCTTATTCCAGGTGGGTAAGCTGCAGTTAAGATATTGTCATGCATAGTTCTCTTCTGTTCCTCTACTCATAATCTACTCAGCAATATGTTGTTTATATCTAAAAGATTTAAAATGCTTGTTCTGCAGGCTGATACTGTTTTCCTATCTCCTCCTTGGGGGGGACCTGATTATGCTAAAGTTATGACTTATGACATGAAGACGATGCTTAAACCACATGATGGGTTGGTAGATTTTTTTTTGTATTTTTGGGTCAGATAGATTAAATAGTTTTAGTTATCCTGTTTATTTGACCTTCTGATGTGCAGATATGTTCTCTTCCAAGCTGCAAAGGAAATTGCCTCTAGAGTTGTCATGTTCCTGCCGAGAAATATTGACGTGAACCAATTGGCAGAATTATCTCTATCAGCCTGTCCTCCATGGTCTTTAGAGGTATTGGCCTGCTCCTTTTTTATTTGATATACATTCTAGTGGAAGCCTGGTTCTCAAAGCCCCCACCCCCAGAAAGGGAGAAGGAAAAAAAAAGGGGGGGGTTGTTAAAAAGATCGTTGGGAAAAAAAACGAGTGAGAGTAATGATTTATTATTTGTTTGAATACTCGTAAATATATACCTTTTAAATGTAATTTATGACGTTCCACTAACCCCTTAATGTCCATTTGAGATTATGGTTTTGGTATATCTGCTTATGGAGGATATGGTAAGAGAAATAAATGTATTAAAAGCAATTTAAGATGTGATTTTGTGCCTGCATTGAAAGTAGAAGGTATTAACATAAGGATATGCATAGTTAATTGATCGTTTTTAATTTATTCCTGTGATGCTTTGCTTGGCGTGAGAATAGTTGGGATTTTTTACGTTAATAACGTGAACATTATGTAACAGCAGTATTTAATTTGGACTTTAACGAGTTGGCTCCACAACACTATTATTGTCCGAAATTTGATACAATTATAATTTAATGAAGCATTTTTTGGGGAGAAAAGAAGTGCAAAGTTTATGAGGAACATGGATTATACAGTAATTTTGGTCAAAATTTTATTTATCTAATAACTTTTTTTTTTTGGGTGAGAATATTTATCTAATAACTTTGCTTGGCTGAGAATTGCGCGAGTCTTCCTTTGAATATTCAGGATTAAAAATTTGAGGTAAAGGCGTGAAATGGGAGAAATATATACCTTTTTACCACTAGAACAGAATGAAGAAAAATAATCAGGATTCTAAATCACGTCTTTCTTTCATGAAGCCACCTAGTGACCCGAGGTTACAATCTTTATTTTCTTTTGGTTTGAGGTTAACTATTATATTTGTATGCCATTATTGTTTAACATATTATGTAACTAACTTGATGAATTAATTCTTTTTCGCCATGATGATCTCAGGTGGAGAAAGTCTTCTTGAATGGTAAACTGAAGGCAGTTACTGCTTACTTCAGTGATACAACAGTTGGAGGGTGCTGAGTACAACTCTTCTGGTTCTCTTTCATTACATGAACAACATTTTGCTCCGTAGTGGAAAGAAATCAGTTTGATTAGCCCATGTTATATTGAAGTTGTAGCTGTGGAGTTCGATAAATGTTCTTGTTCTCTTTGTAAATGACAACAATAGATGTCTTGATTTATCTTGTATTAGCACAGTTAAATTATTACACCGGGCCTAATTTAGCAAGGATTTTTCTTTCGTTGATTATCAAGCTATGCTCACGTGAAGAATTTAGGTAATGAAGTGATTGACCACCAACCTTGGAAAACAGATTCACTGGCACTTGAATAATTGAGAGTTGAATTGTGGAAGTAGGAATCAGAAACTAGGGATTCCATACAGATCAATTGAACAAAGAGCCCTAAAGACTTTCCTTTTTATTTGGAAAAGGACTGTTTGATAAGTAAGAAATTTACGACCTGTCACCCTAATCTTTATGTAACCCTACTAATAAATAAAGAAAACCGTAGCATTAATTGATCGCATCAAACTTGAGGCGGGGGTAGATTTTTCATTTTTAAAGGGCTCAACACGTCATTAGTTCCCAGTGCCTCACCTTACGGGGTGAATAGAAGAGGGCTCTCGCAAGAAACGCCTGAAAGATGAATTTGTCCCTCGCGCAATATCTCAATCAGTGGATCCAACTCATGGGTGAGAGCTGAAAACTGAAGACAGGTACGGACACTCATGTTAGCAGCCCACGTAGCACGAGGACCAGCTCTTGGCTCCCCTCAATTGCTATATATATCTCTTGGATCTGACCTTCCCTATGCTGTGCCTTGCACTTGCTGGGTCCCTATCCCCCAGCTATGTTACATAAAATACAGCTTTTCAATTTATTTTGTCCACAAAACATGCACATATGCTGAGATTCAATAATTCACAGCAATACTCAGATGTTTGTATGATTGATAATTCGGAAAAAAATTGTAGTAATTAGCCAACTCCAAGGAGTAAATCAGTAAATAACTCGTCTAGCAAGCCATCTCATTTCCATAAAAAAAAAACTCAAGTTTAAGCGCACTTGTTGAGTGAAGGGTGTTAACCTTAAATACTTCCGGCCTATTAGGGGTTAGTCTCAAGTACAAAATAATTTGAAAATACCCTAAATTATTTATAAAAAAAAAAAAAAAACTCTTGCCTAGCATGGGCAGTTCTTCGAGGACAAGTCATCAAATACTGGTTTGGATATGCTGTATTAAGGATTTTTGTGTTATTTTACGCGTAATTGAATTTATCACACTTTTACCATCTATCTTTACCCAGGAAAAGTTATCCTGCTTTTTCAATCCTATTTTTACCTGACAACGAATTCGCAATTCTTTTACAATTAGGTGCACAGCAATGGTGGGTATTGAATTTAATGTCTTCCGTTGTTGGATCTTTTAAGAAGAGGCGTTTATTTTGCAACTAAATATTTAAAGGGTTGGGGAAAGGGCACATTGGGAAAATGCAGGAAGTACAAATTGAATTGTAGTCATTTAGTGGTCAAGCTTTGTGCGTATCCTGAGAAATTATTCCACTCGTTTTCACAGGTAGGGAGGGTTTCAAGCTGCAGAGAGTTGGGCAGGCTGGATTCAATGTGATATGAGCTGGATTTCTGTGGTGTTGTTTTTTTTCCGGGGTGGGGGCGGGGTTCAAGCAGTAACTCTGGATGGGTCAATTTTGTGTTGAAAAGTGAGAAGCCATTTATTACTGCCTTTTCTTTCTCATCATATCAATTTGAATGTCGCCATGCACGTTTGTTTCACAATGCTAGTACGTACTTGGCAGAGGCCAATTCAAGTCGGTGAATAAATGCTCCAACCTCACTATTTATGTTCTGGTCGGTCCCATCCTCACTGTTCAGAGCATGGTATGCTAACTCGTCAACTAAGCTCAGATAAAGCGGGTCCAATTCGACCAAATACGATTATCGGATTATGAACATCCCTTGTCTCCTGAGTTACCAGTAATTTATTGCACGCACTACTTTAGGCGGCGATGCTTTTATTTGTTTGGGGTTTTTTGGGGCCGAATTATATTTATATATTCTTGCCGACATTTGTATTGTGATTATGGATCTTCCCGGGAATGCGACTTCTATACGCAATGATTTTCCTGAGAGAGGACCTGAAGACAACAAACAAAAAGGATGGTGTTTATTATTATTATTATTTGACTCTTAATTTTAATATTTTCATCTCATAACATATGCTAACTTGCTAACTGAGTAGAGAGTCAAACATGTATTTCTCTGATTCTAAATACAATACCCTTATATACATTATATAAAAGTCTTATATTTATGACCGGAGGAGTATTAGATGAATCAAAGTGATAATAATTCTTTGTAAGGTCACGTGATGGTTGGCAAATTGGCAATTTTATCAAGCATAAGAGAGTATGACTAACCATAACCTATCAAATTTTATCAAAAAAGAATCATAGCTTCCTCTATATAACACCTTTAAAGACGAGAGAAATTACAAAAGCGTTTGAAAACACTTAAAAATATTTTTTTAAAAATATTTCCACGCAAATCAAAACACAATTTTTTTTTATATACTTATCTCGACAATTCATAAAATCAATGTAAATTGATAAATTTTACTATTTGACCGTAAGTTACACAACCTTGGTTGATTGCTGCTGGTGGAAAAATTGAAAGGGCAGTAGATCTGTAATGTTGCTACAACTCTAAAATAATTAATGTATGCATGCACCGAAGGGCAAGTGGAAGTCAATTTCTAGAGTACCATACTGTATTGTATTTGATGATTGCGGGAAATAAAAAAAATGAAAAACTAATTTCTCAATCTTTATAATTTTGATACGCCTATAATCTCTATATTTTGATATGATACAACTCAATTTTTATAGTTTTGACTCGATTATAATTCAGTTCTTAAAGTTTGATTTACTGCAACTTAATCCTTATAGTTTTACCCAATTTATAATTTAGTCATTATGTTTTTTAAAAATAAAATTACATATCTAATCAATGGAGGGAATAAATTATAAAATAATTAAGAGTATAGGAACCGAGTTGTAGCAAGTCAAATTTCAAAAACTGAGTTATAACCGAATCAAAACTTAGGAATTGAATTGCATCGAGTCAAAATATAAAAACTAAATTACAAATGAATAAAAATTATAGGAATCAAAAGATTAATTTTTTCAACAACATATAGGAGAATTATAATAAGGTCCCAAAAAAATAATTACAAAATAAATCTAAAAAATTATTATTATTATGCTAAAACTTGTGATTACATACTATTAGAGGTTTTTTAGTAATTCTCTCGAAAAATATGGTCCCATCTGCGCGTTAAATGATTTTCAGTGGGTGTCAGAACCGGGCATCACATCACATGTGTGAGCCTGGCATTTCTCTATGATTCTATTTACAAATTTGGAGCAGAGATTTTCAATCTGGCTCCTATTTATTATTATTATTATTATTTTGCTTTTTATTAAATTATTCGCCGACTCATTGTTCCATTGTTCATGCTTTCTTATGCATTGCGTCAGCTGTCACAAATGAGAGGATAAAAGATTTTTTATATTTATAATTTTCCCCCAACAAAATAGTACTACCTCTAATTTTCAATATAAAAATTTATTTAATTTTTATTTTAATACTAAATATAAAAATTTAATTTTTTTTTATATTTATCTATTTTTTTAAAATAATTCGTGTAATAATCATAGTTCTCTCCAATTCATTTTATTAGCAAAGATATTTTAAAAAAGATAATACTTATTTATTATAAATAACTAAGTTAACTAGTTTTTTTAATTTACTCAAATTAGCCAATCAATTCTTATACTACCTTTGGTTCTAAAATAAAATCTTATAATTATAACTAACTGAAATATTAACTGCATGACTGCATGAGGCAGCAATATACATAGGGCCACCCATCCAACCCACGCCCAACAACATTATTGACCTTTTGACCAAACAATGACATTGTCATTTTCTGGAATCATCAATCCACACTTTTCGTAATAAATATCCCCTTTTGTTATCCTGGATTACTTGTTGCAAAACACAGAAAATAAAAGGGAAAAAAAACAAGCCAGTAACGGGTATTCATTTTAGTTATAATTTATAAATATCCTTTTGGTACAAACAAAATTTTGATAAAATAAAGTTATATAATTTACTGCTATGTTTAATTGAAGCGAATAAAAAATATGCCCTTTTATTTTACATTCATTAAAATATGGTAAATCTTATTTCCTTTTTGGGCGGACGTCGTTAACTGGCAATGATGCGTAATTAGTGGAAGGATGTGATGGTCTTCCCTCCAAATGATGAAGCCTTGAAAGTAGTTTTTCTCCTGGCCTTTTTAATTAGTACAAACAAGGGTGATCTTATTTTAATTTAATTTCAGAGAGAGTACAGTGAGGCTATGCAGGGGCACATGCAGAGATAAACTTGCACGCCAGACATAATCATCGTGGTCTTCCTGTTGTAATGGAGCAATTACTTACTAATTACTAAGAATGCTTATATTCCAAGCACCTCATTAGTCCTCAGCACTTCAACCTCACTGGAACGGAACTCACCCAGCCTGTCAATATCATCATATAAAATTGCAGTCAAAGCGTTATATGCTCTGGTCAATTAGAATTAGCTTAGAAAGATGTGTTAAAAAGTTCCTCGTCCTCCTCCCCCATAAATCATTTGTCCTTTTTCTTGGATGATCCGCTCAGTCCGGCCCACTCTTCTGTTTCTTCACAAACCCCACGTCATTGTATCCTCAAATCGCTTGCTTGTTCCGCCTTCCACCACGAGTCATATCCATTAAATCCAGGGGTCTTTTTCGTGTTTGCGGTACGCGCCAATGCAGATTATTGTCGGCTCCGTTCGTCTACTCTGAACGCTGCTCCAACATTGAGCAATGCCGGAGTTGGGGTTTCAGGACCGATCCTCGTCGAGGGCGGAACTCAGACCTCGCGATTGTAGCCCGGACTCTGTTATCTTTACTCTTGAATCTAACTTCAGTCTGTTCTCCTCTGCTTCTGCCAGTGTCGATCGCTGCTCCTTTGCATCTGACGCTAATGAGCATGACTCCCTCGCCTCTGAAATTTCCCTGGTACTTGGGACTTCGTTTCCTTCTCCCTTCCTCTGATATCACTGCCTTCTCTATTATATTCTTTTCCCGGTGACATGCACCCGTGGAAGTCGTACACTGGAACTACTTTCGTGTAATTTGGTCA